TAGGAGAAGGGATTGCAGCGTGGTCATCCCCCACCCTGGGGGGTGATTTCTTGCTTTCTGTCTCTCTCTGTCTGGCGAGTGGACACGCCCTATAGCAAAAACCTCTCAAAAAAAAAAAAAAAGAATAATTTTATTGTTATTGTTACATAGCGTAGGTGAGAACAATAAAATTATCTTCATAAGGTCAAACCAAAGATGAACTGTTGCTAGTTTAATTCAGTATAGTTAACTTCTCACATGATTAAAACTGAATTCCATTCTTCCATAAAGATTGTAACCTACTTTATCTGTATAACAAAAATTTAAATGGCTGTTTCTAAAAAACTTTAGAGCAATCAGAGGTTACCTTGAAAGGTGATCCCCTTGGACAATGTCAGAAAGTATAAACTGAGACACTTTATAAAGGAACAACCAAAATTTCCTAATGAGGAGAGTTCCCTTACTGAATATTAAAACATGTTATAAAGCCACAGTAATTAAATTTAGTACTACTTAAATTTATTTTTCTTATTAGCGCAGGATGACACTGAATAAAACACAATAGGGAGTACAGAAATAAATCCAAGCATATTTGAGAATTTAGTACCTGGTATTAGAAATATTTCACCTCAGTGAAAAAAGATGGCTAGTATAATAAATAGTGCTAAAACAATAAGTTAGCCAGTTTTTAAAATAAAGTTGGATGACTATCTTGCATATTATAAATTCAAAGATTTAAATGCAAATGTAAACACATGACACAAGTGCGCATACTTCAAGTAAACACAGATTAAATATCTTAAACAATCCCACAGGAGAAAAGACCTTTCTAAGCATGGTATATCAAACCAGAAATCAAAAAGGGAAATGTAATCACATAAAAATGAAATAAGGAAAAAAAAAAAAAAAAGGGCAAGGATCAGTTACAATCCATCAATTAGAAAAAGAACTTAAAAATCACACGAAGGACTAATGTCCCTAATATATAAAAAATTCTTGTAAATCAATGAAGAAAAAGAAACCCAAATGGAAAAAAGACAGGCAACTGAAAAAAGGTCAATAAACATATGAAAATATTTTCAGTCTTACTAGATAAAATGCATATTAAAGGAATTTCATCTTTTATATCAGAAGAGAGAAAATTGGCATGCCTGAGGAAATAACCATTTTATACAATTAGTGCTCAAAAGGTAAGCTTTTTGAGGACCGAGAATATGTACTATTCACTAATAAATTCTCGCCCCCAACACAGCCAGCACATGACAGACGGAAAAGTATCTGTTGATGACTAAATTATGGCATACACTTCTCATGACAGAGCTATTGATATATTTATCATTGTGAAAAAATATCCAGGACATAGAGTTGGAGGGAGGAGGGAACAGCATGAGTACAACTTATGGGTCTATACACATGTCCACACACATACATGTATGCATAAAAACAATGTCTACAAGCTCATAATGTTAAAAGTAGAAAAATACAAGAAATGAAACCTCTATTAATTTTACTTAATTTTTTTCTCTTTAATATTTATTAACAAATGTTTCATATTGGGCCTTGTTTAAAATAATAGGAAAATTAATCAAAAGAAAAATGCTCAAATGAATAATTTAACACACAAAATTACAACTATATCCAGGTTATATTAAATTCCAACAATAAAACTGAAAACATTTCACTAAGAAATCTACAGAGCAGACATCTTAATACAAAATACCTAAACAGCTGATAGATAAAATTAAAATGCTGAGTTTTTTTTTTTTTCTTTTTGAGATAAAGAATTCTATTCTTATCTTAAAGACATTAGATTAGGCTACTTAGTTATGTGGAAGCTTAACTTCCTCAACTTAATTCCCCAGGGCAGCTTTAGCTAAATAAAGTGACTTAGAAGATATTTTTTATTAATTCATAATTTTTGATTCTCCAAAGTATGGTGAGAGTTGGAAGTGAAAAAAATAAATTAATTAATTCACTCTCGGTCCATTCAGCCTGTCAAAATATCTTCTTTATATTTGTGTAAGAAGAGCAAAAGAAAGACAAGCATTTCTTACAGTTTAACTGCAAATGGGCAAAATACAGAAATGAGGAAACTGTGATAAACTTAATAATCTCAGGACCAGCAGTTAGCATAATGGCTATGTCGCTGGACTCCCACATAGTCGACCGCGGTTCAAGTCCCGGACCCGGTGGCTTAAACTCACGCCAGGCGCGTGTTCGTGCGTGCCCAAGATCCCGAGAGGAGAATGGAGAAGGGATTGCAGTATGGCCATCCCCCCAGGGGGGAGGGGGGAGTGATTTCCTGCTTTCTGTCTCTCTGTCTCTCTCTGTCTGTCTGGCAAGCACACGCGCCCTATAGTAAAAATCTCTCCCCCCCCCCCCAAAAAAAGAAGAAGAATCTCACGGAGCCAGCAGGTGGCATGGTGGTTAAAGGCACTGGACTCCCACATGGCTGACTGTGGTTCGAGTCCCAGAACTGGTGGCCTGCTTTCTCACTTTCTCTCTCTCTCTCTCTCTCTCTCTCTGTCACTCTAAATAAATAAAGTTAAATAAAATAATTATAAAAAAAGAAGAATCTCACTACAAAATTCTGTATTGTCACCACATTCTCCTTCCAAGTCTCCCCAGCATTTAAAATAATTAAAGATTATTAAAATTATTCTGCCTACAAAGCATAAACTGAAGTGATGACATAGCCTATCCAGTATAAATCTGTCTAGTCCTAAAATACTGTTTGACTACCCTAGCAATCAAACTGATACGCAAAAATTCTTGTTTACTCCATGTAGTGTCACCAGAGCGTCAGTCTGGAAAAGCATCAAAATAATAACCTCTATAATTCCAAAATTACTTTTTATAAGCCACTTACAGCTTATTTCTTAAAACTGCAAATACTATTTTTTAAGTAAACATTCTTTTTTTAATAATTATTTCATTGTAATTATCATTGTTATTTTTTAATTTGCTACAGGGCACATGGACTCACTAGAGAGAGAGAGAGAATGAGAAAGTAGCCACCAGGCCCAGGACTTGAACTGAGGTTGGCCATGTGGGGGTCCAGCACCCCGACCACCACACCACCCACTGGCTCCCTCAAGTAAACATTCTTTACTAATGCATACTACAATAAATCTCATCATCCACCATCTCCATATTTCTGTTCATTGTTTACATTCTGACATTTTTTATTAGAAGATAATTGTACTAGAATGAATAAAATTCTATTTTATTCTATCTCAATAAATGAAGATACAGCTACCAGATGAGGCTTATTTCAGAACATCACTGTTAATGATATGAAAAGCATAGTGAAGACTAAGCAGAATTCTTCTGGCTGCAGAGCTACATTTGATATAAAAATTATCGATTGAGACCCAGATGTCATTTTCAGAGAATCAGTTTTCTAACCATAACCATGCGTTAAGGCAGTCAATAAGTTATAAACTGATAAATGGAAAGAATACTCAAATCAATGCCCTTGAAGGGCAGGTAGAGGTAATCAACTGTCCTACCTGGCAATAGATAGACAATTTTATCCACTGAGGATTTAAAGCCAAGGAAAAGCTCCTGGCAGAATTTTAGGAACTGATTCTACAGAACACATCTCAGTCACATAGCTCAATGGCTC